TACAAACAAAATATGTTTCCAAAATTTTTATTTTACTTTGCTATAGACATTGCAATGTGATTTGAATTTAGCTGTAATATAATTAAATATGATTTTTCTTACTCAAACTAAATGTTTATGTTGATCATTAATGAGTTTGAAAGATAATATGCTAATGGTCCCAGGCTTTTTAAAAGGTTTTAATGTTACATTTGTGTTTACAGAATATCAAATAAGATATATAAAATGCGAATAATATTCATGGAATCTTTTAATATGATTTTCAAATCTGTCATTCCCTTTAAGTCAATTTCTTTGGAAAAATGAAGATGATGGAGTTAATATCGTTAGAACAGAGGACAATCAGGTATGATTTTAAAGTTTTTGTTTAAATGCAGTATTGCAACAACATTTATACTTAAATTGAAACAAAACTGCAGCTTAAAATGTTTAAGGTTATAGGATGGGAGATAAGCCTCAAGAAAATTCAGGAGCTTACCATTTCAGTGAAATTTTTGGGTGTTCCATGGTATGGGTGGGACATGTTGAGGTACGCCCTTTAAGTGAAAGCTAGGTTTGTATATCTTACCCTAGTTATCACTGAGAATGAGTCATTTGATGGACCTCTTGAATTTGGAGAAAGATTTGCCACATTTGGATGTGCTGCTTCAGATTTTTTTGTTTTGTTTTTTGTTTTTAATCAAGTAATCTAAAAGATGCCAACTTTGGGCCCAAAGCAAGAGAAGGTTCAGAGGGTGATCTGAAAGACATTGCAAGCAGTGTTGCCACTTGTGTTTTAATGGCCAGCTCATAGAGTGCTGCCTGATGTGTAGTAGATTGGAATGCTGAATGGAGTCTGAGACAAGCCCTGGCAAGGGAATCACAGCTCAGAGCCCTTGGGTTTTAGAGCAAAAGGTACAATCATCTTCAGCAAATAATTGTTCTGTTGTTGCTGGATATTAATAAAACATGCTATCTTCATGCTTTAAAATTTTTGTCGGTCTAGTGGATGCTTACTGCTATCCATGGTTTGAATTTTAATTTCGCAGATTATCCATAAAGTTGGTCATGTTTTAATATTTTTATGGACTCCATTTTGGTAACCTTTTGAAAGTACCTTTTCAAGTGTTTCTTTTGAGTTGTTTGCTATATGTTTCTGATTAGTATAATTTTTTTAAGTACTCTAAAGATATTTCTTTGATGCTTGTGTATGTTGCAAGTATCTTCTACTCTGGGCCTTGTCTGCAGTCTACCTTGCTGAATGCCTTAAGTATTCCATATCCTTTTTTTCCCATATCCTTATTATTTTCTCTTGCTATGTCGTAGACTGAGAATGGTGTATTAGAATCTCCTATTATTAGTGTGTTACTGTTTATCCTTACATTTCCTGTGGTTTCTGATCTATTTAGATTTCTATATGTTATTTGGCACGAAGTTCTTATGTGAATACTAAAATCACTTTTGCATTTTTTTGACTCTTTTAATGCTTTTTTTTTGGCCTGAATTCTTCTTTATTGCGTATCAAGATACTAACCTGCTTTCTTTTTGTATACATTTATTTGGCAATACCCTCATCTTCCTTCCCCACTTTTTATCCAGCCTTTCTGAATTGCTTTGTTTTAGGTATGTCTTTTTTTTTTTTTTAAGGTTATTTATTTATTTATTTATTTGAGAGAGAGCACAGCAAGAGAGAGCGAGCATGAGCTGGGGTCAGGGGCAAAGGGAGAGGGACAAGCAGACTCCCTAGTGAGCAGGGAGCCCGATACAGGGCTTGATTCCAGGACCCTTAGATCATGACCTGAACGGAGGCAGACGCTTAACTGACTAAGCCACCCAGGCGCCCCTAGGTATGTCTTATATGTACAGCTTAGATAGAGTTGGGTTTTGCTTTGTGAGACAGTCTGAAAATATTTTTCATTTAGTAGGTGAGTTATGTCTGCTTACGTTGATAGGACTGATGTGTTTGTCCTGAGATTTGTCATTTTATTTTATGTTACAGTTACTATGAGTTACTATGTAGTTTATTTGTACTTTTTCCCCCCTCCTCGTTTTAGGAGGGTTGTGTTTTTGTTCTCGTGCTTACCTTTACACTAATACATTTATACTAGTTTTCTTAGTCTTTTTCCTTTTTTAAAAATGTATGCTTCCGCTTTTGTTACCTCTAAAATTATATACTGACTCCTACCTGTTACATTCAGGGCGATCAAAAAAATCTTTCTTCTCTCATGTATTTTTAGTTGTGTTATTTCTACTGTGTCAAAGAATATAATATTTATATCCCATACTTCTAGTCTTACCCCCTCACCTTTTGTTTTAGTCTCAGATCTGTAATTAAATATATTCAACACTTACTGCCAGTTCTTTTGCAGATTTTTCAATCATCTCTTGGTTGGATTAAGCTCAATTTAAAAAAGCACCTCACTATAATATTCTCTTCTTCCACATTTAAAACTTGTCTAGAGCAGAGTTAAGCAAAGTAGGGCCTGCAGACTGTTTGGTAAGACCTTGGACCTAAGAGTGTTTTCTACATTTTTAAGGAATTGAAAAAAAGAAGAATCATGACAGAGACCATATGTGGCCCACAAAGCCTAAATTATTTACTCTCTGGCCCTTTACAAAATTTGTTAATCCCCGCTATAGAATTTTGTTACCTGAAGGATAGCTTGATTGGATATCACATCCTTGGCTTACATCTTTTTTCCTTTCAGTTTCTTTGAAATGTTGCTCTACTGATGTCTTGTTTTATATATGTTACTAATAAGTGTGGTGCCTCGTTTTCTTTTCTTTGTACACTAGCTTGCGTATATTTGCCTGTAAGGCCAGAGGATTCCTTTAATGTGTACTAGTTTTACCAGACTGTATCTCAATTGAGAATTCTAGGTCAGGTTTTTCTGGGTACACAGTGGATCCTTGCAGTGTGAAAATTAGGACTTCTTTATTTCAGGATATTAAAATTATAATTTCAGAAAATTCAATTAGTAGATCCATTCTATTGTTTTGTTTTCTTTTTTCTTCTTTACCTTTCATATATGTTACTTTCTCTAAATAACATATATAAAATAGATATAAATAAAAATAGTAAAATAGATATATTTTACTATATTGTTGTGTTTCATTTTCGTTGCTCTTTTTATTTGTATTCTCCACTATCCTTTTTTTGGCCCTATTTGTTCCTTCTTGGATACGTGCTAATTTGTTCATTTGTGAAACAATTTTGTTTTTCCCTTAATTTCTTTCTTCAGTTTAGCCAACTTTCATATCTTCCTGTTGTTTTTCCTGTTTTATTCCGAGTTTTAAAATTCCTGATTTATTGTGTTGTTGGTATCTGCAAATGCTTGCTTAATTATATCTATACTGGAAGTATTAAGTCTTTCTCTGCTTCGTGGCTGCCTGTTTTGTCTTAGTTCTCAGTTTTGAGGGTTTTAAAAAGTACATTTGTGTGGTTGCTAGATTATTTTGTATTATGTTTACTTGTGTTGGATTTCTCCATATAAGTAATAATAACAGGTGTTCTTACAGAGGAACAGGGAGTGGTGGTTTGGTAGTTTCTCTTGCTTTTTAGATCAGGAGCTCCCTCTTCTGTTGATATAGCAAAATGCAGCTATTTATTTCTTAAATGGGGTCTTTGGTTTTTCTTTCTTTTTTTTTTTTTAATTTATTTGACCGAGATACAGCGAGGGAGGGAACACAAGCAGGGGGAGCGGGAGAGGGAGAAGCAGGCTTCCTGCTGAGCAGAGAGCCCGATGCGGGGCTCGATCCCAGGACCCTGGGATCATGACCTGAGCTGAAGGCAGAAGCTCAACCGTCTGAGCCACCCAGGTGCCCCGGTGTCTATTTTCTTTGAATTCTCTTCTACTATTTAATTCAGCAAAGCTGTTATTTTGGCCACTTTCTTCTTTTTTCTTACCACCCGGCACTTGGGAACACCTCTTCCAAAGTATTTTTCTCTCTCCTAGAAGCTGTCTTCCCATGATTACCACCTCTGGCCCCTACATTTTATAATCCGTTTCTTTTGGCCTCCTACTCAAAAGTGCTCTAATTTACAAGATCTTATCCTTACTCTCAGTATTTCTTCTATGCATGTGGGGCCCTCTCCTTCTAGACTAAATCGTGGTTGTTCATTGTGTTATCTTTGTATAGCTATTTCTAATGCACAGTCCACATATGTTTGTAGGTGGGCTCCTGAGCACACTCTGCTAGTCTAGGGTGTTTATTTCCCCACTTATATGTAAAGTATGTGTAAATTAAAGGAGTCTGTGTACTAGTTATGCTGTAGACATAAATTATGGGTAATTTTATTTGCTTTCCTTTTATAGTAATTGGGAAGATATATGGAGAGATTGTAATTTAGGTGGTTGCCATTATCTTATTGGAACCTGAACATTAAAAACTAGGAAAAGAACAATAAAACAAAGGGGTAAGGACTTAATGAAGATAGAAGAAGAAACTAAGAAGTTACAGAAGTAAAAAACCTAGCAGAATTGAAAACAACTCAAGATCTATGAAGTGCTAGTGAGAGAAACATCAACATTGGTAAGGCTTAAGGTAGTTTATCATAAAAGGGTGGTAACACAAAAGTTAGGAAAGGTAAAGGTGATACAAACAAATACAGAGCAGATAAAATATATGCTAAAATTTGAAAATGTAATACATTTTCTAATTTTCAAAGCAGATATAAATTATCAAAGTTGACCCAATTTAAAAAAAATCAAGTCATCTTAGAAAAATTTTAAAATCATAACAACTAACTAAGAAATCTTGGAAGGAAATCATGTTTAGGAAGGATTAATGGATTTTTTTTTTTTCCTATTAAGTGAAGTGCCTGTGTATAATATCCAAGGAATAGTGGAGAAGCTGGAGCACAAGAGAGAATCTCTGTAGTTATAAATAAAGATTTGGGAGTTCGTCACCATATGAGTAAAAAAAATGCATTGCTGTTGTGAATTATCAAATGCTTACAGATAGGTGAAAAGTAATGTGTCATCCTACCAGATCCTACTGATTTTCATATTTGCTTACAGATAGGTAAAAAAGAGTGCATCACCCTACCAGATCTTATTGATTTTCCTTCACTTCCTTGTCAGCCTGCTCTTTCTCCCGGAATAACTGATACCTCTTTATTACACATTGAAAGTAAGTATGATGACACTATAAGTACAGATGATTCTATGAGATAAAGTTAACTATTAATGGGAAGTTATTGCCTAATGGGTACAGAGTTTCAATTTGGGAAGATAAAGTTCTAGAGATAGATGGTGGCGATGGCTGCAAAGCATCATGAATGTACATAATGCCACTGAACTGTACATTTAAAAATAGTTAAAACTAAATTATGTGTATTTTACCACAAAAATGTTACATTATTTTAAAGTGTGTGAATTACATGTTAATTACTGCATATGTTTAATCACTAATATTTGTGCTTTTAAAAATATACATTTGTTGGGGCACCCAGGTGGCTCAGTCTGTTAAGCATCTGACTCTTGATTTCAGCTCAGGTCATGATCTCAGGGTTGTGAGATTGAGCCCCACGTTGGGCTCTGTGCTCAGTGCAGAGTCTGCTTGAGATTTCTCTCTCCCTCTCCCTCTCCCTCTGCCCCTGCTCATGCATGCACTCTCTCTCTCTCGAAAATAAATAAAATCTTTAAATATATATGTGTGTACACACACACATTTTTCATGTAAGGACAATAAGTCTAGGTCCAAGATAAATTTACCAAAAGAATTAAACCAAGATGCATAACTACTTTAACTTTACCTAATTTCTACACATATATGTAAATGTAGAAGAGACATATGATATTCTTTACTTATCTGGAAATCCCCTTATGTATCCCTGTTAGAAACTGAAATGACTCCTCAGTATTTTCCATAGTGGCAAATGCTATACTGCAGCAAAAAAAAGACCAGACTTTTGGGTAAAATTTACTCTTGGTATTTTAATTACTTTTAAGTTTTACACTCCCAGCTTTTAGCTTTTAGACATTGATGGGTTATTACCTTTTAGGAGAGAAGATTATTGAACAAATGAAACAAGTAAAGGAAGAAAGACAATATCTGGAAAGAATTAGAGAAGAACTAATAAAAAAAGTTGAAAAGCTATTTGAACAAAGAAAATTGAAGCGATATCATGGTAAAGTTTATTACATCTTTTATCACTAGCATGCTTTACAGGTGGTTTTTAAAATTTAAGTTCAAATTTTTTTATAATTGACATTCATTTATTTGTTTATTCATTATTGTCTACTGAATTTAGCCACTGTTCTAGGGACTCAGGAGATAGTAATAGGCAGACACAGTTTTGTCTCTGCCCTCAAAGAGCTTATAGTCCAGTGAGGAAATGATAATCAAGAAAAAAATGATGCATCCTGATGATGCTATGATAAAGGAATTACAGAATTGTACACAGAGGAGTACAGAGAAAGAACACCCAAATTAGATGGAAGAGATCAAGAAAGGCTTCCAGGAAAAATGTTAAGTATGCTAGAATCTGAAGTGTGCCTCCTCTTGGCTTTAGGCCTTCAGACATGTTTTTCCCTCTGTCAACTACATCTTTTCCTTCTATCTCCCCTCTTCCCAGCTCACCTGGCTATTTCCTACTAGTCATTCAATCTCAGCTTAGATAGCATTTACTCTAGAAGCAATCTCTGGATCCTAGTCCTCCCTACATGCTTAATTTTGTGCTATGTGTCTATCTACTTTGCTAACCTAAATGAGTGAATTGAAGGAAGGAGAGAAATTAGGTAGAAAAGCAGCTAGTTTTTTTGCAACAGAATTAGAAACAAGTTTATTATTATTAGAAAAAATGAGCCAGAATGGAGAAAGTATGGGATAATGGTTTGAGAGATGTTAGAGGGTTTGAAAGGATTGCATTTTGGATTGTATTTGAGGGTTATATGAATAAAAGGTATATATGGAATTAACTGGTTTTAGGATCCTCAATTGACAGCAAAATTATTGCTTCAGTACTAGAATTGACTGAAGGTTATAGGCAGTGTCAGGAGATACTTCTTCAGGTTCCACCTCATAATATTAAGTGTTATCCTGGAAATGGTGGCAGTGACTCAGCTTTGTTGTACTATTAAAAGTGATTTTATCAGACAAATTTAAGTAATGGACTAAAAATCATAGGACCAAGATTCTAATACCAGATCAATCTTTCACTTTTTTCTCCTCTTCGTGCCTCCCTTTTTCTATTTATAAAATGAGAATGATCATTTTCTATTGCAATAGGAACGTTTCAAGATAAAAGGCATGTATCAGCCATCAAATATTTATTGAGGTTATGTGCTCCATTCCCTACATTGTTTTAAATGCTGAGGATATAGCAGCAAACAAGATAAACAAGGCCCTGCTCATAAGGAGCTTGCTTCTAATGGGAGGAGACAGACAGTAAACAAATAAGACAATATCAGCTACTGACCAGAGCTCAGAAGTCCATTTAAAAAAAAGAAAAAAGAAAAAAAAGCATATTAAAGGGTGATGGGGCAGGAGAGATGCTTTAGCTAGGGTTTTCAAGGAAGGCATCACTGAGGCGATATCATTATGATGTGATGATTAATAAGGAGACAGGTAAAGAGAGGGAAAAAACAGTCTGAACAGAAGGAACACTAAAATGTCAAGGTCTAGAGATGGAAATGAGCTTGCAGTAGTAAGGACCTGAAAGGAGGCCAGTGTGGCTGGAATGTAATACAGAGTAATGTAGAGGAAAATAAAAGCTCAGCAAGGAACAGGCCAATTCAAGAGGTTTAGATTTTATTCTAAGTAAGGTAGGATGTCATTGTTGGGTTTTTAAGCTAGAGGTTTATATGATTTAAAAAATATTTTTAAAAGATCAGAATGACTGCTGTATGGAATAGCCTGTTAGAGGGGCAAGAATGGAAGCAGGGAGACCAGTTAGAAACATAATGTACTTTCAAAAGATGATAGTGGGGTGCCTCGATGGCTCAATTAAGCATCTGACTTGATTTCAGCTCAGGTCATGATCTCAGGGTCGTGAGCTCGAGCCCCATGTTGGGCTCTGAATTCAGCGGGTAGTCTGCTTGAGATTCTTCTCCCTCTCCCTCTCCCTCTGCACACACACATGTGCACGCTCTCAGGATAAATCTTAAAATAAAAAAAATGATGGTGGATTGACTAGGGACATAACTTTGAAGAAGGTAGAATGTGCCAGATGCTGGAAGTATTTTGGCAATAGTACCAATAGAACTTGCTGAGGGATTGGATATAAGGCATGAGGGAAATAAACTCTTGAATTTTAATCAAATCACCATATAGACTTTTTAAAGTTGGGGTTTTCATTTCTTTGATAATCTTTTAAACATATGCATATTCTGATATAGTAGCATGCAGTTTGTGTTCCTGTTAAGTTTGTATGTAGACTCTTCTTGGTGTCAAAGTGATTCCCTAAATTAGCAGTATTTAATTTCTAATTTTCTCAACTAAGGGGCTCAGGTTTAAGAAATTCTGCCCTATATAAGCTTGGGGATATATTTGGAATAATTTTAATAAGTGATGAATCAGAATCAGCTTATTTTATAAAACATATTTTGGGGGCTGAAAAATATGCCTTTCTGTTTATCATTTTAAATCAATGACTTCAAATCAGATTATGGAAAAAAGTGATCAAAATATACACATTTTGCTATAGGTAGTATTTTTAATCAAGATTTTTCAGAAATAATTACGAGTTTAAAGAACTTGGTTCCTGTGTTTATCACTACTATATTCGTAAGGCAAATCCTTTTATTTAATAAACATTTCAGTCTTTGCTTTAATTTCTTCAACATATAAGGGAAGAAGGGTAGGGTCGTAGAAGGGTTTAAATTAACTCTAGTGTCCTTTCCAGATTGAAAAGTTTAATCCTTAGTCAGACTTTTTTTTGTAGCCTGTGATGGTTGGAAGAAAAAATACTTTGAAACAAAGAAAATTACAGCATCATTAGAGGAGGTTTTAACAAAACTTCAAGAAGATTTGGAACTTTACTATAAAAAACTGCTCATGCAACTTGAAGCCAGGGAGATCAAGATGAGACCAAAGAATCTGGCAAACATCACAGACTCTAAGGTACTTATTACTAAATGTGTTCACATTCTATTAGAGAATTCTACTCAAAATACATGGTTTATCATTATTATTATCATATGTAGGATGCTTTGGGCTACAGGTAACAAAACCTTGACTTAACCTGACTTAATAAGAAAATTTATGATCTCATATAATGGGTGCTGAAAAGTTATAATCAGCAGCTTAATATCTTTAAAGAGACTAGGTGCTTCCAATAGTTCTTCCCTATTATTTTCAGTGTTGGCTTCATTATAAGACTGCTTTTCCTTATGGTACAAGTAGAGTTGCCAATGGCTAGTAGGGCTATATGCCTCCCAAACAAGAATATATAAAATTTTTCCTTTAGCCTGATGGGGGTTCAGCCAGGCCTAACCTGGATTAACTTAGACTACTTGGGGTCTACCTCTGTACCTGGGGATAGGGTCACTTTCTTTAAATCAATGGAAGAGATGAATACCTGATGGAATATGGCAAGGGATCAACAGTATGCACTACATTCCTTTTCTTTAGCTGGGGAGTAGTTAATAAGACCCACAGAATCTAAAGGTATTAATATTCTAAGGAAATTATTAAATTATATTAAATTGATTTTTTTCTTGAGATAGATCAGAAATATGTTTACTTTTTAATTGAGTGATTCTACCATATATAAACAAATAAATTCTAGAGGCCATTTATCAATTTTTCTTGGTTGACCAAAAAAGATATGTTAATTATGATTAAAAGTATGGATTTAACTTTAGACTTGATGAAATAGTACAAGTTTGCTCTTTTATTTTTCCCTTCTTAAGATATAACTGGCATATAACATTAGATATAAAGTATACAACATGATTTATGTATATATTGTGAAATGATTACTACAATGTTTAGTTATAAACTATTTTCCTTGTGATGAGAACTTTTAAGGTCTATTCTCTAAGCAACTTTCAAATACACAATACAATATTTTTTTTTAAAGATTTTATTTATTTGAGAGAGCGAGAATGAGAGAGAGAGAGAGCGCACATGAGAGGGGGAAGAGCAGGGAGAAGCAGACTCCCTGCTGAGCAGGGAGCCCGTTGTGGGACTTGATCCCGGGACTCCAGGATCATGACCCGAGTTGAAGGCAGTCGTTTAACTGACTGAGCCACCCTGGCGCCCCCACAATACAATATTTTTAACTATAGTTATCATGCTGGACATTATATCCTCAGAACTTCACCCATTTCCCCCTATTCTCTACCCACCCACCCCACGAATCTGTTCTGTTTCTATGAGTAAAAGCTTACTATTTTAGATAAATCTAATGTAAAACTCAAATAGGTTCAAGTAATGGTTTGTCCATTTTAGCTGATACTTTTTATTTTGCATAGCTCATTTTTTGTTTTACCAAATAGTTTTTGTTGACCACTATACTTCATAAACTTTTCTAAACAAAAATAGCCAAAAAGACTTCTTATATAAAATATAGTATTTCATTCAGCTAATGAAGTATAATGACAATTTCAAAAGCTTTCCTTGTATCTTCCTTTTGTAGTAATAGTTCTTGCCTTTGTGGTGCTAATTTAATGGCAACTTGTACAGATATCTACTTATTTTTATAAAACATGAATAAAGGTAGTAGAACAGAAGAGAATGTGGTCCCTGAGACATAAGAAATTTACTCCAAAGCAATGAGTTTATTTTATGCAATAGGTTATTCTTATGATTTGCTTTTTTGGTATTACCACTTCGTAGTTTACAAGGCAATTAAAAATAAAAATAGGTGTTATACTAAATAAGGATGTCTTTATGTATTTCACACAGAATTACCTTATAATCCAGATCACTGAAGTACAGCATGAAATTGACCAACTTAAGAGAAAACTGGATACTGACAAAATGAAACTCATAATAGAAGTTAAGGTAATTTGCATTTCTCCTAATCAGATAACATTTATTCTGAAATAAGTTGTCTTAGTGTTTTAATTTTGGGTATCAATAGCATAAGGATAGTAAGGATTGTCTTAAAATTGTTACCTTAAACAACCAAGAGCAGGAGTGAAAAAAATGCAAGAATTAAATCCTGTGTAAAGGTGCATGTTATAACAAGGCCAAAGTAAAATTAGTAGAATTTCCCTAAGATTTAAAGGAAAAGGACCGGGCGCCTGGGTGGCTCAGTTGGTTAAGCAACTGCCTTCGGCTCAGGTCATGATCCTGGAGTCCCGGGATCGAGTCCAACATCGGGCTCCCTGCTCAGCGGGGAGTCTGCTTCTCCCTCTGACCCTCTTCCCTCTCGTGCTATCTCTCATTCTCTCTCTCAAATAAAATCTTAAAGGAAAAGGACCTTCTGAATCAGTATATAGAGTCTCAGTATTTTAAAAGTAATTTTCATATATTAGAGTCATCCATAAATAAGTCTGACAAACCACTGAACTCTGAGCTCAATTTTTTTTTTTTTTTTTTTTTACCCGTTCTGGGGGTAATTATCTCATGCTGATTATTTTCATATATATATAATTATATAAAAGCTCGGAGTTCACTTCTTTATCAGAAATAACTCTATGACATAAATAATGACCCCCTTCTAGAATCAGAACTTTCTGCAATGATAGAAATGTTCTGTATCTGCACTGACACAGCCGCCACATGAGGATATTGAGCACTTGAAATGGAGCTTGTTGGGTAACTGAGGAACTGATTATTAAATTTTATATAATTTGTTACTATAAGTAGCTACATGTGGCACTTAGCTACTGTATTGAATAATGCAATTCTAGATTCTTTTCACTAGCAGCATTCAATTAGGGTTCTCAATTTTAGAAGGGTAAGATCAAAGTTCATTTTTGAAAGGTGATTCTTTTCATAGATGAGAAAACAAGCAGTTTCAGATTTACGCACATTGAAAGCTGAACTGGCACAGAAGAAAATTAACACATCTTTACAATCCCAAGTAGGTATGTTAATTTAAAACTTGTCAAAAAATTTAACCATTATTCTCCTTGGCACAATATTTTATATAAATCGTAAGTTTTATATTTTTTCACTTTTCATGTGGATTTTCAGGAAATATTAGATGTAAAAAAGCAAACCGGTGGCTATTTAGTTTTGAAGCTTTTAAGTATTAGTCTTAGAGACAGTTTGTTCATTGTATTTTAATTAAAAGCAATCTGGAAATATAAAATAGGGATATTGAACTTACATCCAGAGCTATGATACAGATTAGTATCTAAGAATTTAAAATTTTAGAAATACAAAGACAGTAGTAATTCAACAAATACTATGGAAAATGGTTGGTTTTTCCTCTGCCATAAATAATTGGGTAAATAGGAAATGAAATATTCTCAATAACAGATGACTGAATCGTCATTTATTCCAATTTGAAGGCAGAATATACAGGAAAGACATTTATGTAAGTCCAAGAGTTCAAGGATGCAGATTTTTTAATCGGTGTTTATAGGAACTATTATTATTCTTAATTGCCTTAAGAAAACAGAGACCTCTGTACATTTAGAAAAATTCTAATTGTGCAAATAATTGAGAAACCAATGCCTTTAGATAATTAAAGATAAAATGCATATATAAGCTAAGAAATTATAGATGTATTAGAAAGGTAAACAAAAATTTTGGTGAAAAATATTAGGTAGCTCTTTCCCCCCACCCCAGAGGCTTTTGTGAGTTTAATTGAAGTGCATCAGAGAACTTGAGTACTATATGAAACCAGGAAGCAGAAAAATTGTTTGCATCAGCTTGATGCAGGTTTTAAATTTATTGAACAAAACGTATAGAGCAAAAGTCTAGGTTTTTAAAAATCTGAGCAAATAATTTCCGCTTCAAATTATACATATTTTTTAAATTAGCATAATAAAATTCTGAAAACAGTTTTTCCTAATTATAGTATTAAATAATATAGTAAGTTGATTTCTTACCTTTGTTTTTAGACAACCAAAGCCTTTATCTGCTTTTAAGTAGAATAACTAAAATATATGACATGACAAAAATGTGTACATTTTTATTCAAGAAACTGATTTATACTGATCATTTTTCTAAATCTTAATAGTTTGACAAAACTATTATCTGTCACAGCTTTGGTTTTAAGACTTTCCACATTTCTTCAGTTTGCTGTTTGGCCACAGCATCTCCAGAATAGTCAAGACAATTTGCGTGCCACATGCCAATGCCTCGTAAGCCATGCTTTTGTATGTATGCTGCTTTTAAAGAAATGCTCTGAGGGTTATCATACCACACTTGATGAAAATGGCCAGAAGAATCCTATAAGAATAAATTAAACTATTCAGTACAATATTAGAAATTTTAGTGCACAGTACTTTATGCTTCCATGGTTCTGTATGTGATACTTTCTAGATATGATTGTGGTACTCTCACAACAGCAGAGATTACACAAATGAGCTTTGTAATATAGTCTGTACTGTATTTAAAGTCCTTCTCATGCTCCCATGCCCTAAGATTCCTTCCTTGGTCTGATCTGATGATTATCAACCAAGATGTACATCTGAGTCACTTGTAGAGCTTTTCAAAATAAAAACTCCTGGGACACACATGAAATATTCCAGGGTTGGAACTAGGACATATACTTGTGTTTTGCCATCCCATTAGGTAATTCTGATACACAAATATAGTTAAGGAGGATCACTGCTATGGGCCTCTAAAACCAGCTTATGCATTTTTTTGTACTCTCTACAGTTCCTGGAAATGTACTTAGGAGCTCAGCGGATGATTTTGTTTATGACGAATCAGCCAAATCAAAAGGTAATGGGTGGGGAAAATATCTCCTTTAAATCTTACAGAATTAATAACCATAAACTAACCTGTAAAGTCCTCCCCAGCATCAACTGCCTGTATCTAGGACTAACAGAGTCTCTCAGAGGGTAGGTAAGCTATTGGATAAGGGATAAAAAGAACTAGGCAAAAGGGTTAAGGAAAAGATAGGAAATAAAAAATAGAATGACCTGTGATTTCAAATAATTTACTGATTTTTATATAACATCTGGGAAACTTTCAAAGGCAATTCTCAGTGGATGCCAGTAATATGTTTATGGTAGCACCACTGGAATTAGAGTAGTCCCCTAAGATAAATGAATAAACTGTGGCATATTTAAGTACTGTATACTCATTTACTACTATAAGCATATCTCATGTTCTTTAAAACTTTAAAGAAATTTCAAATGCCTCAAAATAGTGAAGGATGAAAAACTGAGTAAATGTAAGATTAACGTATGCATGATTAAGGCATATTATTGAGTGCATGATGAAAGTGCATAAGAAAGCAGAATGATTCTCTTCAGTCACAGCAAGAAATTTGATTTTGGTTGCTATGGAATTTTACAATAAATGAAAGAAAATAGTTTTATAACTAGATTGTTGTCTAAAGTGCCATTAAATGAATGGCCTTCAAAGGCTTATCAAAATGTTTCCTGAATTCTAAAACTTTAAAGAAGGTTAGGGACGACAAAAACACAGTACGTCAGAGCGTAAACTGTTTGGCAAAGACAGGAGTATAATATGGATCTTAGTTAGTTATATAAATTACAAGCCTAGTTAATGAATAGGTATAGAATTTTCAAAATTTAGAAAGTTCTACATCAGAGCTTTCTATGTACTTGATATATCTATGTAATTGATATATATGTACATGCCTGTATAACAATTAAAATTTATTAAATATAAATGTTTACCAGATTATTAAAGAATATAAATTCTTACTGAAATCAACTTACATCATGACACTTTAGGGCTCCTTTTACAGTGACAAAATCCAAAGTAAATTCAAAGATGGTTTGTAATTAGATTTTTGAGGTGTGGAAAAGTTTTATTATGCTAAAGGTAAATTATGAAAAATGTAACTTTTCTTTGCCTCTTTGGTATAGCAATTCCTATTTATCTAAATGACCAGAGCAAGTCGGTCAGGTAGTGTTTCTTCAGTGTTTCTGTTTGTAATATAATTTGTCTAATATCACATAGTTTATACCATTTTCCACTAACGCATTTCTTATTCTCAGCATCATGCCTCCCTATAAAATGGAGGTTTACAGAGCCAGTAACCTATTTTGGCCCAAAGCCACAGTTATCGTACATAATTAAGGAAATCCTGTTTGTGATATAACACCATCTAAAATGACAAGTGGCCCACACAGAGCAGTTCCCTTATTACTATAACTTGACCTCCTCACCGGCAAAGTACTTGATTAGACAAGTTTACTCATGTAAACAGTAGTCTGTATATTGTACCCTAAAAGAAAATGGATAGAATAAAGGTTCATAATTTGTGAAAAGTCTTACTTTATAATTATAATAAGAAGCTTGCTGATCTTTATCCCAGTGGCTTCCAGAAATAGAACTATTTACTTGCTTCATAATTATTTTATAGGGCACCTGACGTCCTGAGGTAATACCACAAGAAACCCTCCAGGAAGGGACTTTTGGAATGGTACAAACACGATCCTAGAAATACAGAAATGTTCGTGATATAGATTTAAGCAAATCAGAAAAACTATATTAGAAATAAAACGTATACTATAAATAACACTGACTATACAGAATAAAAATTAAATTTCATTATTAAAATGTAACACTCAAACTTCCATGGGATTAAATAATTAAAAATAAACTCTACTTTTAGTCTCAAACTTCTACATATGAAAGAAAACAGGCTTTAAAGAATAGAAAGAAAAAAATTATATAAGAAAAATCCTTACTTACCTCTAATAGATTTAGACAGGTATAATCATAACCATACCAGGGAACACCCATTACAAGTTTCTTAGGGTTAATGCCTATCTTGATGTAGTCATCATACCCTGATCAAATTGGGACAGAAAAAGCATATTTTTTCTTTTTATATTCTAATGGGTTTATACAAACTATGCAGCCATTCAGAATTGAAGTTTGAAAAAACAAGTACATTTATGCAAAATACTAATACAGTGTTTCCCTAACATGACATTATAAACATCATCCCTTAAGAACTATAAATTCCGTATCACTTGATAAATCATTTATTTTTGAATATAGAAAACATTCAAAAGACCAAATTGAAGCAAAAAATTCACAAAATTTAATTCTAGGAAGAATGACATTTCAGGAGAAAGCATGTTAATTAACTGCTGAGATATATTTGATTTTCTAGATTCTGAAGTTTCAGAAAAGTTCATAAACTTTCTGGAAGGGATGGTCTCAGAATTTTTTTTTTTTTTTTAAGATTTTATTTGAGAGAGAGAGCACGCATAAGCAGGCTCTCCACTGAGCTTGATCCCAGGACCCCAGGATCATGACCTGAGCCGAAGGCAGACACTTAACCGACTGAGCCACCCTGGCACCCCTCACTTGTGCTTTCTAGAATTACAGCCAGGGACAAGAAACGTCCCCTCAATCTGTAGTTATGGCAAAGAGAAAAATGAACAAATTCCTGGTCATTCCCTTTTGTGCCCAATGCAAAATATGTTTTCCCACCAAAAGATGTTCCAAGATTATCTAGAATGTTTAAGTAAATTTGCCGTTTTTCAGAGCCTTTAAAGTTATTACGTACTCTTAAATATCCAGGTCTCAAACATACTTGATAATGAGCCTTTTATTGATAGAACACAGTTATCATCTCCTTTATGAAATAGTTTGGGAACACTGGATTAAATAATTGCTTTGTAACTGTAACAATTATTTTTTATTTTTAAATAGCATATGCATATGATCAGACTGTTAACTTGGATGTGATAAGGCTAGGTTTTAAGACTTTATCTCTAAAATAAAGGGTTTTTATTTATAAATCAGGGCCAATTATCCCAGAAAATTTCACTTGAGTCCAAAAGATAGCAAGCAATTGTTTATTCAGTTGGCTGATGGGATACAAACCAAACTTCAGAAAGGCTAATGCAAAGCCCACATCATATGGATGACAGAACAGTGATGTCATTTTTAATATAGCATGGGCACTAATAATAAATGCCAAATAAGACAGTCCTCTATCAATCATGCATAGTAGGTACTCACATTATAACTACCTTAGCTATTAAATTATTTAATGTTGGTTATTTCAGCAAAAATATCCTGTCAAATTCTAGAAAAGCAAATATCTCCTTCATGTAATTTTGGGACAAGAGGGTTGACTTGAAGT